GGCTTAAAAGATTCGTCTCGCAAATTGGTCGCAAACTGTGTAATTAATTATTTTTTAATCTATATTTAATACTCTAATCATATGTTCAGCATGTTCGCTTGTTGGTTTCAGCCAGCCCAAACCAGCCAGCCAATAGTGTTTTTTCCTCTCAAAAAAACCAGCACCAGCCAGCCCAAACCAGTACCAGCACCAACCAGCGAACAGGCCCGTTGAAACACAGCCTGTTTGGCAGGCCGTAAACGATTATGGATTATTTACTGCTAGCTGGTTTGGTGTGAGAGAAAAATATCATTCCAGCTTATAATCCACGATCATATACGAGCAAGCGAACAGGCTGACATTGATACAATAGGAAGTAAATTACTCGGACCTTACAATGTTCGTCGTGTATGTATGGTGCACGCAGTAGGTTGCTGTGCGACTCCGATGCACACAAATACTCCTACTGTAGGTAGGAGTACTGGTTTGGGTCATGTGGCCAATTCAAATTATATACAATATCTAAGTTCTACGATTTTGATTTTATATATAGTTTGTTTCAAATTATAATTTATTTGACTTTTTTATCTTAAATTTGACCATTCGTCTTATTCAAAAAAAATTTATGCAAACTTAGTCAAATTTAAGTCATTCTTGAAGAGCTTTTGTTAATAAAGCAAGCCACAACAAATGAAGTGATATCTAGCATAAATTTTTAAATAAGATGAGTGGTCAAATTTAGAGAAAAAGTGAAACCAACTATAATTTAGAACAGATTTAGTACGTTACAGGTGAGTTCATTGTTGACTTTGCGAAATTTGACTCCACCGTCTTTGTTGGTTATCGAGTCTTTACTCGCTCATTTTATTGGATGGTTAAAAAAATCGATCTCTAACAGGAAGTCTCTTCTAAGATGTTTTTATAATCAATTGTCACAAGATCATAAGATCATAAGATTTTCTTGAGAGTAGAGAGAAGATATTAATAGATATATATGCTTTTAAATACGAACTACTATTTTTTGTTGTATAAAGGGCATGGTAGTTGCTAGAGAGTGCTTGTTGTTCATCGACGTCAACGTAAGGTGTGTTTTCTTTTATATAAGAAATTGATCTAACTCACACCAAGATGGAGACCGGCCTGCGCGTGACATCCAAGGGCGGCAGTCAACGAGACAACGACGATCGGCCTGTCGTCGCTCTGCTTGCATTTGACCTGGCCGCTGACATTGGCATAATTTCTGTAAAAATATAAAAAGAAAAAGTACCTAAAAGCACCGATGCATGGTACTTTTACACCACCGTATATAACAAATTAAGCTCCACGTACGAATGTTATGCAGCCAATACATACATTTGCTACTGCTACGTGCTTTCAAGTTTGAGAAAAGCGCAAAGGCAAGGATAGATACCATACCACAGAGAAAGCACCACCAATCGAATTGAAGAGGCGCATAATCTGCATGGACTGCACGCGGATCCATCTGTATACCGTCTCCGTCCGCACCATATGGTCGAGGCCGACCACGCACCCGGCACGAGACCAGCGCGGGCAACGCATCCTGTTGGCACCATCAATTCATCATTCATCCATCATGCATGTACACAGACCTTAAACATGTTCGTTTGAACTACTTTTCAGCCATTAAAAAATATTTTTTCTTATAATATTTTAATATAAGCATCAACATAAGTCTAATTTCAGCATAAGCGATCTAAAAATATCATGTACACAGACTACAACGGCTTCAGTTTCAGCAATGTGTAGTACTGTACTACGTACGACGTGTATGTATGCGTACACCGGCCGGAGATCCCTATCCCTCTGGACTCTCGACGTACGTCGTCGTCGTTGATAGAGCTCGTAGGGTGCGCGCGTGCGTGTGCTCTGCTTCAATTCTTAATTTTAGGTTCCATCAAGCGAACAGGTGCAAATTTTGGCAACTTTTATATTTTTTTCTTGACCAGTTGGTCAAGCCTCCAAGTGACGTCCCCCGTGATCAGAGTTTGAATCCTTGGTTAGACAAATTTCTGGTCAGCGGTGTAGAAAAAAACCTCATCGTCTGTCCCGCGTTCCCAAAGCACAGGTAAAATGGATCCGCCCTCTCATCGGGTAACGAGACCCTGTGGGCGGGTGAGGCATGAGGTTCGAAGATTTTTTTGGACTGGGTGAGAAGTCCTCTATCTTAAGTTAAAATAACTCACGGTGTCTACCCTGTAGCCTGAGTTTTTGTTTTTACCCAAAGGAGAGGAAGAAGAATTTAAGGACATTAGCTAATGGGCAATGCATATGGCCTTGATCGCTTCTCTTATGAGTCGTGCTACTTTAGCGAATGAACATTGTTTTTTTCTCATAACAAATCAGCGAACAATACTTTCAGCCATAACTTTTCAGCAAAGCAAATAGGGCCTGTATCCTCTTACGTCACCAGCAAGGGCTATGTGGAAAGATGCAAATTAAGCGTGTACGTGAAGACAAATCTCAGCTGGTAGATGGCCATACCTAGCTACAGGAGTAAAATAAAAAAAATACTCCTTTGCAATTTCTTGGGTATCGAGGGTTTGCTTAGATGCAAAAAGCTCATTTTTTTCTCTAGCCCATCTGAACAGACGACAGTTAATACGTGGACTAATTTCTTACTTAAAAGTCAAAACCTCCAACTAGTTGTTAGCCAGTTTGCTGGCCAAGCCTAGCTAATTTAGTCTGATTTTTAGCCCCTAGGTAGTAACTAGTCCTATCAGATCTAAGCATGCCTAATTCAGTAATTCTACTCTTATTTTTTCACACAGTGAAATAGATATCTGCATAATGGAAATGAAATATAAATAGAAATTATAAGATTACACTAATAAAAAATGTTAGACATATCTTAGAAGGCCATGGCCCCTGACGGCCCCACCTTAGCTCCGCCACTGGCTGGGTCAGGCTCCAGCACTCATGCCGCGGCACATCTGTGTTCCATATTAGGCGCTGTTTAGTTTCACTTTATTTTGTCAAAATTTTCAAGAAAAATGAATCTTTTCATTGAAGCATTAAATATAAATAAAAATAAAACTTCCATTGCAGCGGAGACCTCCGAGATGAACTCTGACTGCTACACTAATGGGTGCAATATTAAATGTCAACGTCACGAAAGTTTATCTTCAAACTTTAGCCTCTCCATCTCGAAATAGTCATGACAAAAATTATTAAAGTTTATCTTGAACCTTCAGCCTCTCATTCTCAAAATAGTCATGGCACAAATTCTTGGAGGAACAATAGAGGGGCTCTATCTGAAATAGTCATGACCTCCACCTATTGAAGTTTATCACTAGATCCTTCACTCATTCTCAATATAGTCACTGGCACAGCCCTTGAGGGAACAATAGAGGAGGCCGTGCTTGAGTCCTGGACCTGCCCTGCTGGTTGGTGTCACTAGATCCGTCCCTGTTTGACTGAAAATTTACGATCACTGGCCAGCGATCAGGGGCCGACAGCTTCCGTGCGTTTGGAAGGATGCAAGACGTTCTAGGCCTAGCACCCGTGATGCAAAAGGAGCTCGTCAGCCAGACTTTTGGGATACAAAAATAAGCTCCGTTTCTCCAGATCCATGCTCTCGGGATGCAGCGTATTAGTAAGTAAATATGGTATTGACAAATAATTAGCATGTTTTAGGGTACATTAGTATATTTCAAGTAGATTAGCTAGGGCTTAACATGATAAAATTAACTAGTATACAATTGATCCAAACAAAATAAATATTATCTTAGTACTTATTTTTTCATTTCAATTTAATATGATGTACACTGGTGTAGCCAACCAACCAAACACTCTACTCAGTCTGGTTCTTCAGATCAGTGAACCAAGCAATACACACAACCAGATGCATGTGTTAAAGTCTGTCCTTGCCCAGCCTAGTTAGTATTTGAGAGGCAGGCTCCGCTGAGCAGGAAAACAAACATGCTATTGGGTTCTACACACTGTGTACCTACTGATCGAGACTATTTTCCTCCTATGCTAATAATACAGTACATTGATGCACATATATCTCTGATGGAAAATAAATAAATAATAGACAAAGTTAAATATATGTACATACACTTCGTTACTGAAGTATATGGTACATAATACCAGTCAAGAATGTTCGTGGAGAAACTAATTAATAATATGTATTCCATTCATCAGTTCATTTTGAATACACAAATGCTACTATACTGCACGTAAGGACAGCAGGTATACGTATTCACACTGTGTAAAAAAAGCACATCACCGACGCGCGTTCAGGTACATCACGGAAGTCATAACGCGTATGTAATAAGCACATACTACATACGCGTATTACCAACACGCGACTGTGACAAAACAAGCACGCGTATGTGGTAAGCTCTTAACAGAGACCGGTGAGTATCTACACGCGTATGTGATAAGCTCTTACTGGAGACGCGTGTTGCCAACACACGTCCGTGACAAGATTAATACGTGTCTGTGTGAAGAACCATAGTGCAGACGTGTGTCTATAATACGCGTCTGTAGTAAGGATCCTACTACATACGACATTTGTAAACGCGTCTGTGTGAAGAACCATAGAGCCGACGCGTGTTCAGTACACGCGTCTATGGTAAGGATCCTACTATAGACGGTATTTGTAAACGCGTCTGTAGTATGTAGCATACTATAGACTCGTATTCTCTACACGTATCCATAGTATTTTCCTTGTTACACAGCCATGTGGGAAGGTTCTAGATAGTTAACAGCACGGGCCAGACCCTATATGAGCTACTCATGTTACCAAATGGGTTCATGCCATCCGTGTTGAGTGCAAACCGAAGATTCCTTGGCTCATCAGCAAAATTTAGATTCTTGAAATCAATGACCCACCACTAAATACCATATGCTGGGTGCCGTATATAATCATCAACCGTCCACCCATCCGAGTGCTAGCTCAATAGTCGTGCATCCTTGGAGGTTGCAAACAAACGTTTCAGGCGAGGAATTATAGAGAAGTACCAAGCAACTTTCCTAGGAACTCTATGGCGCGTCTCCTAGCCGTCATCACCCTTGTCATTTCTTCGCTTGTAACGAGAGATCCCACACTTGGGGCATTCAGTGAGGGCTGCATTGTCACCACGGAACAGGATGCACACATTCTTGCAAGCATGAATTTTCTCAAACATCAATCACATTGGACAAACAATCTTCTTATCCTCATATGTAGTCCTAGGCATCTGATTCCCCTCGGGAAACATATCTTCGAGCACTTCTAGCAATTCTCTGAAGCCATTGTCAGTCTAGTGATGTGCCACCTTCAGTTGGAGAAGCTTTAGTGAAGTAGACAACTTCGTATACCTCTTATTGCAACTCGGATAGAGTGATGTCTTCATATCTTCCAATAGCTATTTCAGTTTCTCGAATTCCGCACCAGTGTACTCATCGAAGCCAAAAGCATCACGCACCATCTTCTCCAAATTCTCAACCATAGGGACAGGGCTGGCAGCAATCTCTGCTACATCATCATCACATAGTTCCTCATTGCCAAAGGGTGCTTCCTTGCCATCGTCACAAGTTTCATGAAGTCCTTCCTCACCATGTCGGTCGTTGACACCTTCTTCTCCATGTTTGTTCCAACATCTGTAGTCATCTATGAAGCCTCGAAGAATTAGGTGGGCATGGACCGATAACGAATTCGAGTATTGCTTCTCTTTCTTACAGCCAACACATGGGCATAACATAGATGACTTATGTCCATTCCTCATGTCCGCCTCGACAACAGCTAGGAAATATTTTAGTCCTTCCAAGTACTCATCACAAGTACGGTTCTTAAGATACATCTAGTGGTCTCAATCCTCCATAGTCTACAAAAGAAGATTGAAAATGGAAGAATATAAGCATATTCATCAATGCTTTAGTAATAAAAATCACATTTTTTCAGTAGACTTAGTTCACAATGCAAGTTTTACACAAGCAAATTCATCACAGTTCAACACAAGGTCATAAAAGTTCTTGCTGAGCTCACCACTGTTGATAGAGAAGCAAATGCCAGAGAATAGGAGGCCGAAGAGCAAAGCACGCCGGGGACTTGGGAGGAGAGCTGAGCACGTCGGCGATCACCTGTAGCTCGAGATGACGAAGCACGGTCGGAGCATACCTGATCGAGTACACTGCAGAGATGAACAAGTTAGAGTCAGACTCGAGCTCGATCGCAGCCATGGTGGTGTAGCGGACATAGAACGGTGGCATGGCAGTGTTGTTGGCATTTCTTAGTGCAATCACCAAGTGTGGAGGTTTTAAGTCCATCTGATGAGGACATGACCTCCATACATATGACCATGCTTGGAGAACCATATGGAGACCAAGGAGATCAGCGAGGGTGTCCTAAGCGAGAAGGAGGCCCAAAGCTCATCCGATTTGAGTCACCAAGGTGGAGGCCCAAATCAAGTTTGAGTCCATCTTGGCATCCAGGACCAGTTGCCTTAAACTGGTCATCCAGGACGCATCCGGACTTCTGTTTTTGGCGATCCACATATGGATGGAAAGCTAATTTGATAAGAAGCCAACCCAAGTGGTCTCACATCAAAAGCTCTTCGAAATCAACAGGAATCGTCGAAACAAGTCAGCGTTCAGAATCTGTCAGGGTGCCGCGACACCGTATTTTGGTCTATTGGACCATGTATCGTGTTTGGGCCCATTAGGGGCGCGTCCAAGGGGGGGTGACGCCCAAGACTTTATAATTAGCAGTCGTCGCTCTCCTTAGGGTTTGGGTTTTGTTTAGTTCTTGATTTTCTCGTGTGTGGGGGAATAGACCCCCTATACCCTCATGTGTATACATGGGCCGCACCACCGAAAGTGAACCAGCCCGCAAGGTGAAGACGTGCGGAGCACGACATTATATTGTAATTGTACCAAATTGGATACTTTACTTGTAACCTTGTCCCTTCGAAATATATAAGGAGGGGTAAGGGTCCCCTAACGGACAAGAGGATACAGATCATAACAGATCTCACCCTAGATCAATACAAACACCAAAGACACAGGACGTAGGGTATTACGTTGATCAGACGGCCCAAACCTGTCTAAATCGCTGTCTCTACGCCTTGTGTCACCATCCGGTTCCTATCACGCGCATCCTACCGATAATCTACCACCACGGGCACCCCCTTCGGTGGACTGCCGACCATATTTCATCGATAGTGGCGCGCTAGGTAGGGGGCCCCTCTAGGGGTTATCCCTTTAGGGGTTGTGCGTGCTGATCTTCCGGTGAATCAGATGGTAATTTTCTTCATCAACATCATCCGCGGCTGCAGTCGACCACAATGACATCCTTCAACGATGCATGTCAACGTCGGCAGGACGACAACCTGCTCCGCTGGGTGCAGCCACCGAGTGACTCCGACCTCAAGATGATCAGCTTTGTGGGTCGGTTTCTCAACCTTCAATGGCGAACCCCAAGCGCGGCACCCGAGTCTTCTGTCCGAACACAGGCAGGGTGTTGATTCCCTATCGCCGCCACACGTCCAGTACGTGGTCGACCTCGCCTCTTCACGCGGCAGGATCCGTTCCCAATCGGCCTTGAGGAGGAGATCAATTACGGCAAGATCAGCTGGCGTCAACTACGGCAAGGATTTGGAGCTATCCATCTTGTACGGATTTAAAAGGCACATGCAACAGCCGATCGGGGACACCTACCCAAAGCTAAGTCAATACTCCGTATTTAATTTCTAAATCTAATATACTACGATATGGCTGTATCTGGGTATCTACATTTGCGCATGATAATTTTGGCAGGAATCCAACTGCGCTCATCGTCGTTCTGCGTTATCATGCATTGATGGCACGCTTGTGGTCGGCAAGCTTTAGCTCGTTTGTGAGAGCATCAAACTCGATGCCGAAGTGTAATTCGAACAAGCATGAGGATGACCACGCACGCTATGAAGATTTGCATGTATTCATGCATGACGGGGAGCAAGGCATACATTGCAAGCTAACGAACAGGCAATGTCGAAGGGGCATAGTGCCTCGACGACAAGTACGCAGAACGTCTATAGCTCATCTATGTCTTCGACCATTTCCTGGCTCCGCCAACCACGTCGACCACAGACCACGTCAACCACGTCCCAAGTGGCTCCACCGAGCACAGACCACGTCGACCACGGGCCGAGCGGCTCTACTGAGCTCCAACCACGTTGACCACCAGACCACGTCGCAAGGATGATCGCCGCGATGAACGGCGCTACGACAACCACGACCATCGTCGTGATGACAAGTTGAAAAGCTCTAGGACCAGACAACTTCATCGCCACCGACCAGATTTCTATCTAAAGATAAGCACACTTCTAATATTTATATTTAACACAATTTTCATTACGACGTTTCTCCACAACGTCCTTGTCATGATTATTCTTCAAATAACGCTTGTCCATGTATACCATCTTAAAGATAACATACAACTATACTTAACGCAAATCCTCGACCAGTCATGTTGACGCTCGATGTCTCCAGAAACGGCCCTGTCTACTGGCTCTCTCCACACGTGTATGAGCGTCCGCCCTCTGCGTTATGGGTCGTTGGCAGCGGCTCCTTAGCGACGCCTTCCTACATGCACACGGGCTCCGCGTGCTCCACGCTACAGTGAAGCTAGCTAGGGCTGGAGGCTCAGCTACACACTAACTGGTCGGATAGTTTATATTAAGTATAAACACAAACTTCACATTAACACTGATGTTTACAAAGCACCAACTGCTTTATCACATCATGCTCATTTGCAAATGACTACTGAGCGTCATACGCTATTTCTTCACCGCTGATTTTTTCTCCATAATTTATTACTTTGTACATCATGTACTACCATTCTACATATTTATATTGCAGGAATTTCGAGCTACGCATGGGAACTTCATCGCTCGCTCCTCGACCTGTGCTCGGGGACTGCCTTGACCACTCTCTGACCACAGCTCGGGGACTTCGTTGCTCGCTCCTCGACCTGTGCTCGGGGACTGCCTCGACCACTCTCCGACCACAGCTCGGGGACTTCGCTGCTCGCCCCTCAACCTGTGCTCGGGGACTGCCTTGATGACTCTCCGACCACAGCTCGGGGACTTCGCCCCTCGCCCCTCAACTTTGTGCTCGGGACTGCCCTCAACTCTCCGACCTCAGCTCGTGGGACTTTCGCCGCCTCCCTCAACAACTGCTCGGGACCGCCGACAACTCTCCGACCACAGCTCAGGGGACTTCGCCGCTTGCCCCTCAACCTATGCTTGGGACTGCCTTGACGACTCTCCGAGCACAACTCATGGACTCTGCTGCTCGCCCCTCGACACTGTTTCGGGGGACTGCCTCGACCACTCTCCGACCACAGCTCGGGGACTTTGCGTCTCAACTACATGCGACTGGCGACTCGCATACAGTTGGGATATTCTTTCTCGTTTAGACCTTGCTACAAGGCTCATACCTCGCCTTCCAGCAAGCTCGGGGACTACATCGGTATGATGCACCTGTCGGTGCATCTTGTATCGCCTGTACGATGATTGGATTCTCAACTTAGCTGGGAATTCTTTTTAGACCCTGGCACCACATGCCTACGTCACCTACTACCAGGCTCGGGGACTAAGTGGGCACACTTCACCTTGCGATGAATGTGCTCGCTCTGATGGTTCAAACACCTCCGATTCTACACGGACGACGGTGTCTCTTTTTGTCTCAGAGTCAAAGTGGGCACACTTCGAGGGAAATATTTTTTCAAATTTTATCTTGAGCCCCTTACATCCTTCTGGCAAGCTCAAGACGATGCTACTTGAAGGATACAAGGCGCTCGGGGACTAGCTGTGGGGGAATAGACCCCTTATACCCTCATGGGTATACATGGGCCGCACCACCGAAAGTGGCCCAGCCCGCAAGGTGAAGACGTGCGGAGCACGACATTATATTGTAATTGTACCAAATTGGATACTTTACTTGTAACCTTGTCCCTTCGAAATATATAAGGAGGGGCAAGGGTCCCCTAACGGACAAGAGGATACATATCATAATAGATCTCACCCCAGATCAATACAAACACCAAAGACATAGGATGTAGGGTATTACGTCGATCAGATGGCCCAAACCTGTCTAAATCGCTGTCTCTACACCTTGTGTCACCATCCGATTCCTATCACGCGCATCCTACCGATAATCTACCACCATGGGCACCCCCCTCGGTGGACTACCGACCATATTTCATCGACATTGTGAAATAAACATCGTTTTGCTGCAACTGTGCCGCCAAGGCTGCTTGATGTGAACCAGGCCCCAGTTCTTGATCTTGTTCGCCTGTGGCGATTAGTCCTTTCGAATAAAGACTTGAACTCCTTCTCGTTATCATAAGCTTCATATTTATTTGCAATTTCAGATCGCGTTCATCTCGTTCTTGCTTGTGTTCTTGATTCGCTTGCAGGAAAGCCTTTTCGACGAGGTCAATCACGTTCGCGTGGTTGATAACCAATGGAGCAGTGGTGTAATGGTTGTGGGGGTCCGAATCAGTCTTGGTTCGAAGCCTAGATCGTGAACATCGAGTCTCCACCAATCGACGCTATTATACCTTTCGAAAGATCGGGCCTAGTCTACATCAAGTGGTATCAGAGCCCTTGTTGCCGTTAGGTATAACTTTATTTTCCCTTTAGATTGTTACTGTTTTTGCATTACCTATAGTCCATCAAAAAGCCAAAAAAATATATACGCCACCACATATTCCCTGTCCTATAGCTTTATTGTGCGTGCAATA